TATATAACAATCGATAGATTAGATAGATAGGTTCAACTGATTTGTACATCCATAAACAGTGATAGTTGTTATTTTACTTTTTTTATGATTGGCCTCCTTCAAATAGAATAAAGCTACTTGATGACAACAATTTCCAATGAAATAACAACTATTATATTCACTGTTCTATCTTCAGTGTCCAGGCCAATGCCCGGCAATGGATAGGTATACAATTAGTTGGTGAATAATAATATAAAAATATATTTCCACTTACAGCAAGGGCTAGGGCAACAGCTTCACAGCTCATCTAAATGCAATTTACATGTGCAATTGCACATCTAAATGCAATTTTAAAATTATTTAAATGAGAATAGTTTGAAAAAAAATTGTGGAACTATTACAGGTAGCTGTGAATAACTAAAATTACTACTTCATTATTGGCACTGTTAAAGTTGAAAAACCCATAGGGTCATGAACTATTTAAATTCCACACACCATGAACAATGGTGTGTAAACAAACCTCCCTTAAAGAGTGTTGCTTCAACTTCTCCCCTTTTTGCCTTTAGATTTAGTTTCTTCACTGGGTTTTTCCTCCTTTTTTCTTGGTACCTCCAATTCTATTCTTACTCCAGCCCTGGTACCCTAATTTGTATCCACTTAGCATCACACCTTCAATCACTTCCCTTGTGCAGCAGGATTTAACACTGCAAATTCTCACCTTCTTGATCCCTTATAATCCTCAAATTTCAAACTTTTTCGATTTCTCTGTTCACCAACAATTTACCCCCTGCGTCCCTCCCCCCAAAGTATCTTCACTGCTTCTAGTTTCCAATCACTGTTATTCAAAGAAGTGGTTCTTAACTAGGGTGTACATCAAAATGTCCTAAAACTTTTTCATGCCCAGGTTCCATGCTCTGCAATTCTAATTTGAAGGATTTACACTAAGGGAAGGGTCACTAGTCATAAGTAGTTCCGAAAGGAAGTCTAATGCACACTCCAAATTAAGAACAATTACCTCAAAGATTTGCCATTTATTTCATCGTCATACTATAGATAAACTATTCCACCATCTCAGGAATATAATTAAATGAGTCCTCTGTACCTGACACAAATGAAAAAGCTCCTGGTCAACAAATCTGTTTTCTCTTAGTCTCGTTTCTAAACTTGACGTGCTATCTGATACTACCAATTTGAAGCAATCCTCTCTTAACAACTCTAACTTTTTGGTCTTCTGGTCTCCTCTCCCTTCCTCCCTGCCAACTTGTCTAAATGCCATCAAGATCAATACCACTCAGTGTGATCCAAGAGCCAGCACTATCACTCTCATTTGGAAGCCTGTTAGGGGCAGTAATTCTCAGGCCCCCTTCCAAGGATCATTCTTGTGATTATTGTATATGCTAATGGTTGAGAACCACTATGTTTAACCAGCTTCTCACTGCTTAAGATATATGGGAGAAATCCATACATATAGAAGGGACCCTCTGTGAGGGAGTAGCTCAAACAGAGTAGATGCAAATACATCCACATTTTGAAGTTAATTGCTATCAAAATCATGTTTCTCATGACCAATGGCAATTTACAAATAAAAGCTATAAATTATAATAGCTACCAACCTCAGGGCAATCAACATATCCTAGATATTATGAGATTCTGTTAACATACATTATGTCACTTATCAGGTATTATAACTGTTACAGATGAAAAAATTTGAAGGATTTACACTAAGGGAAGGGTCACTGACTCAGAGGGAGAAGCAGCACATTATCCCTCCAAAATCCATGCCCTTGACCACCACGTAATTGTCTCTCACATACAGTAGGAAAGGAAGTCTTAGCAGAGAACCCCCAAAAGAAGACTCAGCAGAGGTGACTGAGGTTGACTGGTCAAAGAATTACCGGAAAAAAACAGAAATGTTGGCAGGAAATCTAGGTGCGGAAAGAACTCCTTCTTAAGAAGGAAATCATAATCACAGCAGACTGGATTTTTTTTTTTAAGTAAATCAATCTGAAGGCTACAGATGATACAGAATTTAAAAAAAATGTGCTATGGACTCTGTTCATCTTCTCTGAGTCCCAAGGTTTACAAACAAAAGTCAGGCACTAATAAAATGTGTAGGGAACAATGGTTAATGTTGTTAAAAAAGGAAAGAAAACAGTGACATGGTGGACAAAAAGCACTTTGATAGGTAGGCGGAGAGGGGGTAAATTAAGTGAGGGTGGAAAATGGGAAGTTACGAGGAGCCAGGATAGTCTGCACTGCAATTACAGAAACTTGGACTGTAGCCAACTAGCCATCTCTAACTGAATTTAAAACTAAATATCATTTCCGTTCACTTTTAAATGAAGTGGTCATTTGCTCATGATATTCTCTCCGGTGGGTAAATCCATTCAGGAGATAAAAGCTAGATGTAGTGATGAGGTAGTAAGGAGCAAGAGGAAGACAGCTCCTGATGGGAGATGTCGGGCTGGCTGGCAGGAGAAGGCCAAGCTGATGGAGGACACTTTACCATGAAGAGCCCCTTAACCTCAATGATCAAACCACCTTGAGATTAGGGGAATAAAATAGCTGACCCGATGGAGGACAGTTCACCATGAAGAGACCCTTAACCCCAATGATCAAACCACCTTGAGATTAGGGGAATAAAATAGCTGACTAGTTTGGGTTCTTTTAGTTACATTTGCTTTCTGAGTATGTCCATCTGGTCAGCTATTGACACACGTGCAAAGTCCACCTCCAGCAGCTCACTATTTGCATCTTTTAACATGATTTTTTTTCCTGTGTTGACTTTTCACTAGTTTCAGTATTAGAAAAATCAACCCTTTTTAAATTTTACTTTTTCTGATCCCCATTTTGTCTATACCTAGTTTTCACACCTCTGTTAGAAGAATAAACTACAGAATACATAGGGACATACTTTCAAATTTGTTTCTTATTTGTGTTCCAAATAGCATGCAGCATTCTGACTTTCTCCTATTATCCCATGAACTTTATGCATTATGAATTATCTTCCAAACACTTATTAACATGGCACTTTAAGTGCAATTACTAGGCACTTACAATACACTGAGCAGACCTAGGCACTGGGTAACACTGAAGGCTGAGCCTGAGGGAAGCAAGGTCAGTTTTATCAGTTTAGCAGAAAAGGGGGGCGATTTGTCCTGGAACAGTTGGAAATTTTTCCCAAGAAGTGAACAGGGCTAAGTCTGGAAGGATGGATAATGGGTTCATTAGGCACTTGGGAAGGAAAAATAAAAGATCCCTAACACCTCTCTTCCCAACTTTGGTAATGTTGGCAGCACTTAATAGGAAAAGAAAGAGTAAAATGACAATAACGCAAGAAGAAATGCAGTGGGTGAGGGAAGATTGTGCCTTTAGACACACTTCAGGTTTGAAAGTAAATGTTTATAAAACAGGACTCACTGGCCCTCCCTTTGTGGGGCAGTGGGCACAGCACTTCAAGGGAGCAGCAGTTGGTGCAGTGTGAGTTCACCCCTGGGCCCCCCTCCCCAGGTGAGCTGCTTGGTGCAGCAGACCTCTCCTGTCTTGCCCACTGATCCCCTCAGCAGTGGACTTCATCAATCTGCCCCACTCTGTCTCTGGTGAACGCTCTTACGGCCCCTACACCTCTGGCCTGTACCTCAGTTCTGTATGAATAAAAAAAAAAAAAAAACACCACCACAGGATTCACAGTCAAGGGAAATGGGTGGAGGAGGAAGAAGGTCCGTTTGTTTTCTTGTATTAAATTAAACAAATGAGTAAAAATATCAGTATCTGTGCTTGGGAGCACATATACTTCTTTTCAAAACGACCCTAAGTTTGAAAATGAAAGCCTACGGAACGTTATCCAAAATTACATTTGCCTTAGTGTTTGATATTCCTATTGTCATCATTAAGGGTTCTCAAGTGAGTCGGGGCAAGAACGTAGGTTGGTGCACACCCACATCCAATAATCTCTTGATTGAATCAATCAACAGCCACCTAATCAACTTCTTACCCTAACTTACGCACCTTCCCATTTTTCAAAGACTGGCTCGATTTACTACACTATTACTATCACAAGGTATTAATTTAGCTCTAAGTTCGACACTCCACCTCTTCACCCTTGCAGTCAATTATTTCCTCTTAAACTCCATTAGTTTCGCTTTGCTCCTGAAGGGACACTTAGAAAATACATCAATAGCTCAATTAGAAAACCAACGGCTGCAGCAACAGCATGAACATACCAATCTCCAGCCCTATCCCTCTCGAGGCTGTTCGTACCGTTGATCAAAATCAGCGGACCAGGAAGAAGGAAAAAGCTCTGGCAGGAAGGTCGTTCCCTTCCTCCCACTCCCAAGCCAGCCCCTTCCCTCCCCGGTTCCTCAGGGCTGCTCCGCGACCTCGTGCACCAGCCCCCCTCTAGTGACCCTCCCCCGCTGTCACCCGCCACAGCCCAGAAAACAGTCATAGTCTTTGTTAAAATGTTCATGAGCACAATGGACCAGAAGATGGACACATTCCCGGGGGTGGGGGCGAAGGAAAGTCAGAAAACAGCCACGCCCTCCCTCGCACTAGCCTGGAGCGACAGCCCACCTCCCCCCAAATCCTCCCCCGAGCCGGAGGAACAGTCCTGGCAACTCTGCACCCCGAGACAGCAGCACGCGGGAAGGGGTGGGTCCGGGACGCCGCTCAGGGGCACCTAGCGGGGGTACTGAACTTGAAGCTGGGACACCCTCCAGCACCCTTGGCGGGCTTCCCGCTCCTGCCCAGCGTGAGCGCGCACTTCCAGCCTCTAAAACCCTTTCCTTCCATGTTTCGGCACACATTCCCTCTCCGGCTCCCTCCAGCACGCACTCTGCTCCCCACGCGGCCGGGGACACCCTCAAGCAGCGTGGGCTTCCGCGCCACCGCACGCCCGGCCCGTGTCCCCAACCGAAAGGAAGGTTTCCGGGGTAGTCACCCACACACAACCCGTCCCCTGCCGAGACACTCCGCCCGCACCCCATCCCCACCGCTGATCCCCGCGCCGCCGCCCCACTCACCGCGCGCCCCGCGCCGCTACTCCGCGCCCCGCGAGCCTCCAGCCGCGCCTGCGCGTCCCACAGCCACCGAGCCCAGCCGAAGCCCAGAGCCGGGAGCGGAGGTGCAGGGCTGTTGGGAAGTAGCGCGCGGCCCGGGCGGGGTTAGGAGGGGAGGGGTGGGGCCAGGCTGAGTAGGAGACGGAGGAGCGGGGCCTCGGACGCCGGGTCCGGAAGAGCTAGCGCTCGCGGCGGGCGGCGGGAGCGCTCCGATCTGGAGGTCTGCGTCTAACGCTGATAAGCAAGGCGAAACCTCTCGGTGCACCCCCACACTCATCCTCCAGAAAGGCCAGCCTGCACGGGACCCCCACGCCTCTCCCTGGAACCACCCGATCTTAGCCAACTTTCAGTCTTTAACAAAAGAGTGTCTGTCTCGAAGCACCTCATTCTCTGCCAGGCCTACCCCAGACCCCCGCCCAGGCATGCACTCGGCCCGCGGAGGTGAGGGGCACGGAATCACACACACGCAGAGGCCCGTGCTGGGCATCCTGGCTAACGTTTATTTTTGCAGTGTGCGAGTTCAGATCAAATGCTTGTTGACTACCCAAACTTTGCCCACTGCTACAGTTCAGCCTTTTCCCTGGAACAAACTATTTCTCTTTTCTGAACTTTTGGTGACAGCAATCTGCTTTACCTTAAAAAAAAAAAAAAACAAAAAAACCACCGAATATCTTGGAAAGAACACAGGTTGTCAAAAAAGACCCATCTTCTTTGACCCTGTCTTTTAAAGTAGGCTCCTTAGAATCTGAGCCTTCTAAAAGCTCCTGTGAGAAATAGAATATTTGGCTCGTGCTGTGTGGACTTTGCCCTAGTGGTTTCAGGTTTTCTGGCATTTAGCATTTTAAGGAGGCTAACTTGATTATTATTCCATGCTGCATGCGTGCTTAGTTTTAAGTCCTATGCCTTTCTGTTTAGAATCTATTCAGCCGCGGTATCTCACATGCCTTCAGATCAGCTATTAAAATAAACACACCTGCGTGAATTCAGATTGAATTGGGCTGTGACTGTGATTTATCCCAAATTACTTTTCCCTTCTTCTTTGACTTATGATAGAATTCAGAAACATTTGGCATAGTAAGGATAAAAAATCGAGACAAGGACACACCAAAAGTCCTTCCTGGCCAGTATTTTGACTGTGATGGGAAGATTTGGGGAAAGAGTCTGGTAATTCTCCTTAGATAATTTAATCTGAATTTTTTTTCCATTTGTGGTAGTTTACAAACCAGATTTCTCTGAACTCACTTTTGTTTTTCATTTGCCAAAAAAGCCTAAGAGGGTTGCAGACATGTTGTATGATGTATACTGGTACATGTGGACACAAAGACTGTAGGATGAACAGATTTCTAACGATGTGAACAAAACGAAAATGATTGGGCAAAAAGAGAAAGTTACTGTTGTAACCCACATTGAAAAAGGTTAAGTCTATGACTGGCCTTGGAAGTAAATGGAACCAGCAACTGGAATGCCTCAAATTCCAAGTTGGGCTCTCAGTCCTGCCTCTCTCTAACAGAGACATTCTTTCAGAACCTCTGAAAGTAATGCTTTGCAGGGCTGGAAACATGGCCTCTGACAAACTGTGGGCTCATGCCTCCCAAGTTGTTGCCAGACTGGAGTGTCTCTCCTCAGTTCCAATTTGTAAATCACCAGAGAAAGAACATTATGGTGTGAGCTTGCGTGACAACCATTCATGGACAGAAAGTACGTGTGTAACATGAGAACACCACCTCAGGAGACCTACAGAGTTGGAAGGAAAAAATGAAGAGATGATTTCTAAATGAAAACGAAGGACAGGGTGAGATGCTGTTTTCTGAAGACAAAGACCCTAGGGAGACCAAAAAGATGTTCAAGAAAGTGACGACTGCACTTAAGGAACACAGCTTCGGATCCCCCTCTCTCTCTTATGTTGAAGCATTAACCAGTTTTATTTTTTCATATCTCTCTATTGGTTTTCTGTGGCTTCTATAAAAAAAAGTGACCAAAAATTAGTGATATTTAAAACATACAGATTTATTACAGCTCTGGAGTTCAGACGTCTGAAAAGAGTCACAGTGGGTTACAATCAAGGCATCAGCAGAGCCAAATACCATTACAGAGGCCCTCTGGAGCCTACAGGTGATCGACAATCCTTGATTCATGGCCCCTTCCAGCTTCAAAGCCAGCAGTAGCATTATTCTGACACTTTGTTTACTCCTTTCTACATTTAAGAACCCTTGTGATGATACTGGGCCCATCCAACTAAGCTCAAATGATTTCCAAATTTTGAGATCTCCTGATTAACAATTTTAATGCCATTTGTAGGTTTAATTTCTTTTTGCCTCTAAAGGATAGGCCTCCCTGAGCTGTTCAGGACAGGCTTTCCCAAGATGTGTTCCTTTATTAGGTGGATTATTCTGAGCTAATGTCAATAGAGGCTCTGCTGTCTCAACAAGAAACTTTGGCCATCCCTTGACTACCTACAAAAATGAAAATTGGCAATATTATCCAGAATCAGGGTTTTTCCCAGAAATGACCTCTATCTATATCACCTGTCTATAAGGCAAGGCAAACCTCTCATTACAGACACTCTGACCTTTGTCATAAGTCACCTTGTCACGTGTGTGTGTGCCTCTCCTTCTTCCATAAAGCCTCCCTTATCCCAGTTCAGGATTCATACCCTTCATGTCCCCCACTAAAATCAGAATTTTTGTTTCTGCATAGATTTTCCATATGCTTGTAATTCAGTGTGTTGCTTTTTCTCCTACTAACCTGTCTGATAATGATTACTCCGCCAGCCCAAGAAGGTTCAGAGGGCTTGAGGGGTGATATGGAAGAAGGAGGAGTAGTCTCTGCTCTTTGATGCTATATAGCATATTTCCACAGGCTCTTGCTATTAACAAACAGACATTTTTTTGTAGGACCATTATCATCCCTACCACAGTCTTTATGTAGAGCCTAGGTGTGGGGTAAATGATACTGTCACGCTTTTTGCACTCTCCCATCTCTAGTGTGGATGCCTAGGGCCAAGACGCACAAGCTCCGGGCACTCACACCTGTGACCTGGGCCCAGAGAGCACAGAGCATACGCATGCGTGAATGCTCACACCTGTGCCTAGAGGTGATGAATAAAAGGGCTGTATCACTCTAAAGTGAGACTACACAAGACCACAGAAAGAGAGGAAAGAGCCAGAGAGAAACCAGAGAAAGAATGCAAAGATTTGCAAGGGAGCTGGAAGGCATCCTAGCCCCTGGCCCCTGGCCCCCGGCCCCCCACCCCCTCAGACTCCCCTGCCCAGCCCAGCCCTGCCCTGCCTAAGCCTGCCTCCTTGCAGGTCAGCCACCCTGCCTGGGGTGCCTATGTACCTGGTTCCCTGAGAGAGTATTAAAGGCCTATAAAAATGGTCCGAGGGTTCCAGGACGCATCTTCAAAATCAAGGAAAAACCCACCCTGTGCAAGTACTAGACTAGGCATTTTGTCTGCAAATGTCCCAACCTGAGACACTTGTAAAAAATACTGATGACTGGATACCACTGCCAGATAGTATGATTTAATTGGCCTGGAATCCACTGGCCCCCTAAGTACAACCAGACACACAAACACATTTGATTGGATCTTCATGGGGCATCTCACCCTTGCTGGGTCAATCAGAACTTCCCCAGGGATGAAGAAGGGGGATGGAGATGTGTGAACACTGGGCTACTGGAGCTGTAACATCAGTTTAGCAGCTGTGGCCTCAGGAGCAACAGAAAAACATAAGTCTGGAGGGAATGAAAGGCAGGGGAGAATTAAAGAGAAGTAAACAAAGTGGACCGAAACCTAGATCCTTAATGATTGTCTGCCTGCTGGTTAAGCAGTGTTATTACCCTTGGCTTCTTATGGGGTACCACTGAATTCTCATAAGAAGATCTCTTATTTTTTTAAAAAAGATTTATTTATGCATACAGAACTGGGGTACAGGCCAATGGTACAGGGATGGTGAGAGGATTCACCAGAGACAGAGTGGGGTGCAGGACAGGCATTTCAGATAGATGAAGTGCACTGCTGAGGGGAGCAGCGGGAGTGTCAGGAGAGGTCTGCCTCACCAAGTGCATCACCTCCCTTGCGGGACTGAACTCGTGAGGTGGTTGTGGCCAGCTTCATAGTGCTGTGCTTCAACCTCTTGTGCCACCAGGGAGGGCCCAGAAGATCTCTTATGTTAATGAAGGTACCTCAACTTGGTCTCTCTTGTACAGCCCCCAAATATTCTAATTAATACATGTTGTGGATTCAATTTCCCCCTACTTATCTTTTTCATGCTATGCCTCTTGTTTAAGAATGCAAGTTTAAGAATCAAACTTACCGAGTTAGCAATCCAAATCTGGCACTAGCACTCCATATTCTTCTACCTCTCTATCCTCTTAATAGTTACTCACAGACCCAGAAGGAACCTTACAAATTACCTCAGCCCAATCCCCATGCAATAGTCTGGTATCTTCAAGGTACATACACCAGTTGAGGATAGAACTAGTTCTCTGACTGAAGTCAAGTAAGTATTAATAACTTGCAAAACAGGTCTCTAGCCCCTTTGCCAATGCCCAATCTTTAGATTTATAGTTAAAATTGACTAAATGGGCCCTCCCTGGTGGCGCAGCGGGTTAAAGCACAGCACTGAGAAGCTGAAGCCGCTTCCACATGAGTTCGATTCCTGCCTGCCCCGGAGGTGACCACATGGCGCGGCAGACCTCTCCTGGCCCGCCCACTGGTCCCCTCAGCAGTGTACTTCGTCGATCTGCCTGTTCTGCTCCCCACTGTCTCTGGTGAATCCTCTCACCGCCCCTGAGCCTCTGGCCTGTACCCCAGTTCTGTATGTACAAATAAATAAATCTTTAAAAAAAAATTGACTAAATGGCTCATTCCCGTTCAATTTATAAGGAAAACTCAGTTTCTTCCCATCTTTCCTCCTGAGATTTCTTTCCTTGCTAATAAAGCATCAATGCACCCGTATCACACACATTAGAAATGGTGAAGTTATCCATGAGCCTTTCTTTGTTATCCTCAGTTGTCTATTCACTCCATCTCCTACATGTCTCACA